CTTAATGGCCCTGAAATCTGTTTTTCATGAAATTGTTTCTTACTGTGTCTTTATACCTCATTGTAAGGTTCTCCCTGAACTCCCAAATCTGTCCTTTTCCCTATCACTTCTGTTTGTTTGGAACGAGCATTGAACATTGGTAACTGTTCTATGAACACTGCAAATCCCATACTGTAGTCTGCAGTCCCTAGTCCATCTCCAGAGCGAAAGGTTGGCTACAATCCTACATACAGCGGGACCATGGACAATGAACATAGATGTCCTCTAACAGACAGTCAGACCACAGCAAAAAAAAAAAAAAAAGGAACTAGTAGATTTGGAGAAGAACAACAAAAGGTACTTTTTTGATCTACAACCCCAATTCCAAACACATTGGGACACTGTGTAAAATCTAAAAAACACAGTAAGGACCTCTTGCACTACTAAATACACAAATGATAATTAAGAGGAGGGGGCTGCTAACACCAACCAAATGCCAAATGGATATTATGCAGATTATAAAATAGTATGGTGCAGCGCTACCCTAAATATTGCCGTACTTATACACTAGCTTATCCCAAAATACCAGATGTAATAATTAACATTGCATAAACAGAATATCCAATATAACTCATAGCAAACATACCTTATATGTGACTAATCATTATCCTCAGTGTATTCAGTGAATAAATATGCCACTCACTCACCAATCATGAAGTGAGCTGATCCACTAAGGCAGTGGTTCTCAACCTTTCTAATGCCGCGACCCCTTAATACAGTTCCTCATGTTGTGGTGACCCCCAACCATAAAATTATTTTCGTTGCTACTTCATAACTGTAATTTTGCAGTGGGAGGACTAGTGCCACATCATTGGTGTCAGTAGGAGGAGTAGTGCCCCATCACTGATGTCAGTGGGATGAATAGTGTCCCATCGTTGGTATCAGTGGGAGGAATAGTGCCACATCGTTGGTGTCAGTGGGAGGAATAGTGCCCCATCGTTGGCGTCAGTGGGAGGAATAGTGCTCCATCGTTGGCGTCAGTGGGAGGAATAGTGCCCCATCGTTGGCGTCAGTGGGGGGAGGAATAGTGCCCCATCGTTGGCGTCAGTGGGGGGAGGAATAGTGCCCCATCGTTGGCGTCAGTGGGGGGAGGAATAGTGCCCCATCGTTGGCGTCAGTGGGGGGAGGAATAGTGCCCCATCGTTGGCATCAGTGGGTGGAGGAATAGTGCCCCATCGTTGGCGTCAGTGGGGGGAGGAATAGTGCCCCATCGTTGGCGTCAGTGGGGGGAGGAATAGTGCCCCATCGTTGGCGTCAGTGGGGGGAGGAATAGTGCCCCATCGTTGGCGTCAGTGGGAGGAATAGTGCCCCATCGTTGGCGTCAGTGGGAGGAGGAATAGTGCCCCATCGTTGGCGTCAGCGGGGGGAGGAATAGTGCCCCATCGTTGGCGTCAGCGGGGGGAGGAATAGTGCCCCATCGTTGGCGTCAGCGGGGGGAGGAATAGTGCCCCATCGTTGGCGTCAGCGGGGGGAGGAATAGTGCCCCATCGTTGGCGTCAGCGGGGGGAGGAATAGTGCCCCATCGTTGGCGTCAGCGGGGGGAGGAATAGTGCCCCATCGTTGGCGTCAGCGGGGGGAGGAATAGTGCCCCATCGTTGGCGTCAGCGGGGGGAGGAATAGTGCCCCATCGTTGGTGTCAGTGGGGGGAGAAATAGTGCCCCATCGTTGGTGTCAGTGAGGGGAGGAATACTGTCTCATCGTTGGTGTCAGTGGGAGGAATAGTGCCCCATCGTTGGTGTCAGTGGGGGGAGGAATAGTGCCCCATCGTTGGTGTCAGTGGGGGGAGGAATAGTGCCCCATCGTTGGTGTCAGTGGGGGGAGGAATAGTGCCCCATCGTTGGTGTCAGTGGGGGGAGGAATAGTGCCCCATCGTTGGTGTCAGTGGGGGGAGGAATAGTGCCCCATCGTTGGTGTCAGTGGAGGGAGGAATAGTGCCCCATCGTTGGTGTCAGTGGGGGGAGGAATAGTGCACCATCGTTGGTGTCAGTGGGGGGGGAGGAATAGTGCCCCATCGTTGGTATTAGTGACACAAATGATGGGGCACTATCCCTTCCACTGACACCAATGATACTTACCTTGCTGACTCCTGCTCCAGCCTGGGCTCGCTCTCTCCCTCTCCCATCTACAGCCTGCATACCTGGCTGCAGCAGCAAAAATTTGCACTTACCTGTCAGCTGTCTTCCTTCTCTGGCCTCTCTCTTCACTCGTTCCTGCAGCTCCCTCAATCTTCTTCGATCTCCGCGCGCTGCCGCTCGGCTCCTCCTCTCCAAGCTCCACCTTCTCGCCGGTGATTGGCCGCCTGTGTGCCTCTCCTGAGCTACAGTTCCGGTGGCCAATCAGCGGCGAGGAGGCGGTGACAGGGGCAGCATATCATCCCGCCCACACATCGCCGGAGACAGCAGCGGTGTCTCGGTTCCTAAGACCATCGGAAATATGTTTTCCGATGGTCTTAGGCGACCCCTGGGAAATGGTCGTTCGACCCCCAAAGGGGTCGCGACCCCCAGGTTGAGAACCGCTGCACTAAGGGATCCATAGTGAGACGAAAAAGTGAATAAATATTGTAAATAAAAAGAAATGCCAGTGAAAGAAATAAAATAGTCCTACTGGGACTGCAATATTGTGAAAGATATTGATAAATAATAAAAATAAATAAATAGTGAATCCCTAAATGTGGGATCAATTATCACTCTGACAATAATAGTGACCACAGAGGCTAGAAGTTTGCCAAATAAAAGTGAAAAATAAATGAAAAAATCTCCGTGAATGCCTAAATGTGGGAATGAATATCACACAGTAGTGCAGTGATTAAACGACAAAAATGATAAAAAATAAACATAAAAAAATAAAAAATTATTTTCAAAAAAACTTTAATTGTTGCATGAATTAAGTCCAAAGAAAAAGTTCAAAGGTGCGTAAACACCAAATATTCCAACGACTTCAGAAAGTGCAGGTGGTAAAGTAAATATGCATAACAACCAATAGGAAATAATCCATAAACAGCTGAATTGAAAGGATAAAGACAGAAAAAGATCTCCCATAGTGTAAATCTGTTTACTATACCTTTAAAAACATGTATAGCCAAATGCCTACTCACTTTTGCACAGAATAAAACAAGCTGTAAAACCTCATGCTATGTGGGTACTTGCATGGGCTTTTTGGGTGTAGCAAGATGGCGTCCGTGCCGGAAATGTTCCTACACGTTACGTCCCATTTTCACGTGACTTCTGAGGATCTTTTTCTGTCTTTATCCTGACCTTAATGTGAGCTGGCTGCAGGGGTGGACTGACCATTTGGAAACTTGGGCACTGCCTGATGGCCTGGGGTCAGTAGGGGGCCCCATGAGATGCCCCTGGTACCTTTTTCATAGGCTTTTTTGAGTTTGGGCAAGGACACAGGGGCCCCATGATCCCCTATTGCCTGGGGGCCCCATGAGTTGTCAGTCCGCCCCTGGCTGGCTGTATCTTACTAAATCATCCCTGGAGGGGACCCTGCTGCTTCTTCCATTAACCTGTGAAGGGGATATCACCGCTGTAGACGGATATCATCCTTGAAGGGGGGACCAAACCGTGGAAGGTCACTTTTGTTTTCTAACAGGTGTTTTGGCCCGTTTGAGTCACTTCAAAGAGGCGAGGGGGCAATTCAGCCATTTATGGATTACTTCCTATTGGTTGTCATGCATATTCACTTTACCATCTGCACTTTCTAAAGTCTTTGGAATATTTGGTGTTCACGTACCTTTGAACTTTTTCTTTGGACTTAATTCATGCGCCAATTTAAAAAAATTTTTTTTTGAAAACATTTTTTTGTCCTATCACTTTTATTTTTATTTATTTTTTATCATATTTTTTGTCGTTTAATCAATGCACTTGTCACTACTGTGTGATATCCAATCACACATTTAGGGATTCACGGAGATTTTTTCACTTATTTTTCACTTTTATTTGGCGAACTTATAGCCTCTGTGGTCAATATTATTGTCAGAGTGATAATTGATCCCACATTTAGGGATTCACTATTTATTATTTTTTTTTATTATTATTTATCAATATCTTTCACAATATTACAGTCCCAGTAGGACTTAATTTCTTTCACTGGTATTTCTTTTTATTTACAATATTTATTCACTTTTTAGTCTCACTATGGATCCCTTAGTGGATCAGTTAACTTCATGATTGGTGAGTGAGTGGCATATTTAATCACTGAATACACTGAGGATAATGATTAGTTACATATAAGGTATGTTTGCTATGAGGTGTATTGGATTTTATAACCGTTTTGTGCAATTCTAATTATTACATCAGGTATTTTGGGATAAGCTAGTGTATAAGTACGGCAATATTTAAGGTAGAGCTGCACCATACTATTTTATAAACTGTGTAAAATCTACATCAAAACAGAATGCAATCATTTTCAAATCTCATAAACCCATATTTTATTTGCAATAGAAAACATATCAAATGTTTAACCGATAGCCTACAGGGCACTTATACCCCCTTCCTGCCCAGGCCAATTTCCAGCTTTCAGCGCTGTCGCATTTTGAATGAAAATTGCGCGGTCATGCAACATTGTACCCATATGAAATTTTTATAATTTTTTTGTGACAGATAGAGCTTTATTTTGGTGGTATTTAATCACCTCTGGGTTTTTTATTTTTTCTTAAACAAACCAAAACCCACTGAAAATTTTGAAAAAAGTTTTTTCTTAGTTTTTGTTATAAAATTTTGTAAATTAGTGATTTTTCTCCTTCACTGATATGCGCTAATGAGACTGCAGTGATGGGCACTGATAGGTGGCACTGATGGGCACTGATGAGGAGGCACTGGTAGGTGGCACTGATAAGCATTGACAGGCATCACTGATGGGCACTGAAAGGCAGCACTGATATATGGCACTGATAGGCGGCACTGATGTGCACTGATAGGTGGCACTGACTGGCACTGATTAGCAGCACTGATAGGTGGCACTGATTGGCATTGATAGGTGGCACTGATGGGTGACACTGAAAGGCAGCTCAGATGGGCACTGATATGTGGCATTGATGTGCACTGGTAGGCACTGATATGTGGCATTGATGTGGCACTGATGGGCACTGGCACGAGGCACTGATGAGCACTGACACAAGGCACTGATGGACACTGACAGGTGGCGCTGCTGGGGCTACACTGATCATCAGGGCACACTGATCATCAGTGCCCTGATGATCAGTGCACATGTCTCCTCCGCGGAAGGCCGATTACCGGCTCTCCTCTGCTCTCGAGCTGTCAGAGAAATGCCGATAACCGGCATTTCCCTGTTTACATGTGATCAACTGTGATTGGACATTTTCGGCTCTTTCCATGACCGTGATCCGCTGTGTCCGAGGGACACAGCGCACCATCGATCGCCGCGCTGCGCACTCCCTGAGCCGCGCATGCACGGTGAGAATGGGAGGACGTCATATGACGTACTCCCTGAACGAGAGAACCACCTTGCACCCGTCATATTACTATATGGCGGGCGGGAGGGGAGGTGGTTAAATTGAGAAAATTTACCATTTTAAAGGATAAGTTCACCTTTCTACAAAAATTAATAAATGCGCATTTTTTGCAGGTAAAAAAATATGCATTTATTATTATTTTTTTGTAGTAGGAGCCTGTAAAGCATTGAAGCAGCGATCAGAAGATCTGCAGACCGCAGACCTGTCAGTTTATCTGCTTGCTCGTACATTCTGTACGGGCAAGCCGATACTTCTGACTGGTAAACTCAACTAACTACCACAGCACCATGGTAGTTCATTGAGAAATACAAGCCGATGGCCTCTAAGGCTGTCAGGACTTGTAGTCCATTCATTCATAAAATACTATGAATGAATGATGCGGCCGTGTGGGCAGAGCCCTGCATGGCCATGCTGTTTTTAAAAAGTGATAACACATGGTAACACATCCCAAAAATTTGGGACAGGGCACGTCTCAAAAAAGTTGGAACAGGGCAATAAAAAGCTGGCAAAGTGGTACTAACAAGGAAGATTTAGAAGATAAGTAACTAGGTTAGTTGGCAGCAGGTCAGTAACATGACCAGGTATAAAAGAGCATCTTAGAGAGTCAGAGGGGTTGATTTACTAAAGCTGGAGAGTGCAAAATCTGGTGCAGTTCTGCACAGAAACCAATCAGCTTCCAGGTTTTATTGTCAAAGCTTAATTGAACAAGCTGGCTACCATGCACAGCTGCACCAGATTCTGAGTGCTCCAGTTTTAGTAACACTTCCCCAGAGTGTCTCGGAAGTAAAGATAGACAGAAGTCCACCGGTCTGTAAAAACTGTGTCTAAAGATGATCGAACAATATCAAAATAAAGTTCTTCAACATAAAATTCCAAAGACTTTAGGGGCTCATTTACACTTGCCTTGGCTTTAACACACATTAAAGCACCTACAGCTGATAGCTCAGCTAATACAGGTAAGTATAGTGGTCATCTACATTTTTTCTGTAAAGGTGAACAAATGTTTTACATTGGAACTCCTGCCATACCCTTACTGAGATGCCTGCACATACCTGAAGTGGCCCAAAGCCTCCTTTCTTTCTGAATACTTGGACATTCAAATAGGCAAAGCTCTGACACTACCTGATAACACTAAAGCTTGTATGCCCCTTCCTGCATATTGTCATTGGCCAGTGAGTATGACCCATTATACCGATAGGCCAATAAGGCCCAAATGCTTAAAGGAACACTACATGTTATCTTTATTTTTCAAAAATCATCCATACACATCCACTATTTAGTGGCCCTGTAATCTGTTTTTCATGAAATTGTTTCTTACTGTGGTTTTTCTGCCTTCTTGTAACATTCTCTGTGTGCTCTTTGAACCTTTCCTCCCATCATCACTTCCGTTTGTTTGAAATGAACAGTGCACTCCCATCATACCCTGGCAGCCCCATTTTTTAATAATCCATAGTTTCCTCCTGAGATGCAGCCTCTCGCATTTCATTGGTAGATGAAAATCAAGGAAGTGGCCAATTTGGTACAATCCGTTCTTCATCAACAACTGCAGCTACCCAGCCACAATAATTTTGAATATGTAAGATCAATCATTTCCTTAGTGCTTTACAACAAAAAATATAACATATGATATCATGACTATCTACGAGAATAGATGCCTTCAGGAGGGTCCCAAAATGGCAGTGTATCACTTCTGTACATAATGTTTGTTAATATGCCGCATATGCTGCACTATAGGCTGGCATGGGAAAAAGATCTTGAGGCATAGATCACAGAGTAGGATAGGAATGCTGGAAATTATTAAAGATATCTTGAATGTCCAGCTAATAGAGGCTAATTTTAAGGTTTTATCACAATAGTATCTTGTTCCTGCCAGGCTTTCCAAGGTGTGTTCCAATGCTTTAGATGCTGTGCAGGAGGGTTTAATGAATCATACCTGGTGGACTTGTCCCAAGGTCAGGCGTTTTTGGGTGAGGGTGTACGATTGTATATTTTCAGTCACCATGATCAGTATCCCAAAGAGGCCCCAGACAGCTTAAATAAGCCTATTGATAACACCCCCAAATACTGATCATTTTGATGTTTCTGGCAGCTAAAATTTCTATAGCTACTGTTTGGAAATCACCGGTTGTAGACATCTTTGTTAAAATTAGCTGGCACATAACAAAACAAAGAAGCCGACCCCTTTGGTTACAATCAAGAGAGATTTATTTTTCTTATTAAAACATTGTATTTTGTGCATTGCCTGTTCCAGCCCGAAAGGGCTGCAGTTTGTATGGGATGGCATGGGGGGGAATATATGTACGTCTTCTCTATACTGATTTGTAATTTCTTATGAAAAACGAACAAACACTATTGAAAAACAAAACAAAAATGCCGAATTTGAGAGGGTTTGAGACCCTTGATTGCGTTACCTACAACCTCCATCTTCTTGAGTACCAGTGGGGAAATGGGGATGTAGAGTTCTGGTCAGGTTTCTTATTCCTATTTTTTTTCTGTGCTTTTTGTTTCTATTCCTCATTCTAGCAGGGTCATAGACAGTTTGTTCTTACAGTTCATGTGCCCAGTTCTACAGTTCTGCCCTGTGATATAGATGACTGCTGCTGGCACCTTGATGGTTTAGTTCTTTGTTGCGGTTACCCTGAGACACCTCGAGTCTTTGATTCAATACACTCTGAATATTGATAGCTATAATATGCCTCAGAGTACTTTCCTATGTGTAAGTACACTTTGTATAAGTATTGATACCTCAAGAGTGATAGGCGAGTTTGGTTTTACAATGAAAACTGTATTATTGTTGAAAACTAAAAATCATTGAAAGGAAATGAGCAGTGCGCAATAGTTGTGGTCATGTGCGCTGCTGTATGAACACTACAAATTCAATAGCCATAGTCTAATCAGGCGTGAGAAAGAAAGGGTGGCTATGCTCCTACTGACAGTGAGACCATGGAGAATGAACATAGCCACCCTCTAACAGGTAGTGCCACTTTAAACAGAAGGCCAATATCAACCTTGTCTAGTAAGAGACCCCCTTAGTGAACAGGCATTATAGGGTAGATAGTACACTCCTCAACCAGTATGTTTCAGGTGACTACATGCTGCCATATTTCCTCCACAAAAAAGGTATATGTTCTTCTCTGCTTTACAATTGTGCATGCTCAGTTAGGACGGTATACCTGCCTGACTGCTGATTAGTTGCTGTAAGTTAGGACACCCTGCATACTGCTCTGTTCCTTATCACATATTTCCATTCTTTCGTTCAACACAACACTATACCCTATGAAGAGAGACTTTATGGGCCTGTGTCAGTGGGTTTATGTTTGTGGACCTCCACAAGGCTGGAAAGGGCTACAGGGCAATTTCCAAGCAGCTTGGTGAAAATAGATCAACTGTTGGAGCAATTGTTAAAAAATGGAAGAGGCTAAAGACGACTGTCAGTCTCCATTGGACTGGGGCTCCATGCAAGATCTCACCTCGTGGGGTATCACTGATGATAAAATAGGTGAGGAATCAGCCCAGAACTACAAGGGAGGAGCTGGTCAATGACATGAAGAGAGCCGGGACCACAGTTTCAAAGGTCACTGTCGGTAGAACGCTACGCCGTCATGGTTTCAAATCATGCATTGCACGGAAGGTTCCCCTGCTCAAGTCATCACATGTCCAGGCCTGTCTGAAGTTTGCCAATGACCATCTGGATGATCCAGAGGAGGCATGGGAGATAGTCATGTGGTTAGATGAGACCAAAGTAGAACTTTTTGGTCTAAACTTCACTCGTTGTGTTTGGAGGAAAAAGAAGGATGAGTTGCATCCCAAGAACACCATCCCTACTGTGAAGCATGGGGGTAGTAACATCATGCTTTGGGGGTGCTTTTCTGTGAAGGGGACAGGACGACTGCACTGTATTAAGGAGAGGATGAATCGGGCCATTTATTGTGAGATTTTGAGCAACAACCTCCTTCCCTCAGTCAGAACATTGAAGATGGGTCGTGGCTGGGTCTTCCAACATGACAACGACCCGAAGCACACAGCCAGGATAACCAAGGAGTGGCTCCGTAAGAAGCATATCAAGGTTCTGGAGTGGCCTAGCCAGTCTCCAGACCTAAATCCAATAAAACATCTTTGGAGGAAGCTGAAACTCCGTGTTGCTCAGCGACAGCCCCGAAACCTGACAGATCTAGAGGAGATCTGTGTGGAGGAGTGAGACAAAATCCCTGTTGCAGTGTGTGCAAACCTGTTCAAGAACTACAGGAAACATTTCACCTCTGTAATTGCAAACAAAGGCTTCTGTACCAAATATTAACACTGATTTTCTCAGGTGTTCAAATACTTATGTTCAGCAGTGCAAGACAAATAAATTCTTTAAAAATCATACAATGTGATTTCCTGAATTTTTTTTAAATTCTGTCTCTCAGAGTTGGAATGCACCTACAATGTGAATTTCAGACCACTCCATGATTTCTAAGTGGGAGAACTTGCAAAATCGCACGGTGTTCAAATACTTCTGTTCCTCACTGTACATGGTCAGACAAGGTTGTGGTAACATCACTGCCCAAATGTGGCCATAGCCATAGACCAAATATGGCCATGTCTATATTTTGGCAATGATGTCACCACATCCCTGCTTCTCCAGGGAGGGGCCTGCCAAGTTGCATGCCCTGATTAAGTGTCATGTATGGTTTTCGAGGGGGAACCTCATGACATTTTTTTTTGCTCAGAGGTGTCCTCCCAAATCTGTACCAGATCCACAGGGTCTGCTGTGCATTTTGGGGGAACTCAGTAATACTCCTATAGCATTTAATATGTGTTTATGATGTCTTTTCGCTGTGTTTATGCAGCATTGAATTAGCTTCAAGAATATTTGATAAATGCCCATGGAAGTGTTGCTTTTCTAGTGGGAAGTGTTTAAAGGG